TATAGATGAGTCTGATCAGGAAAAACAAAAGATTCATTCGATTATGTGGGCTAGTATGAAACAGGGAAGACCGTTTCTCTTCTCATATGTGAGATGGACAATCAAGAATGGGGAAAGGGCCAATCCCTTATTTTCTTTCAGACATCTTTGACTAGGGCATAGTACCTAATGACATGGTTAATGTCCTCAACTAGGATTGACATAGTGAGTAGGATTGATCACTCATGACTTGTCTATGGTACAACAAGTGGTTTGTGGTGATACTATTTTTGGAATCGAACCATAAAAAAGTTTGGGTACATGGGTTCACCTTAGTTTTCCAAACCCAATCCCACATGCTTGAACATGGTAATTGTTGTGTGTTGAAAATTGATAGTTCATATGCTAATTTAGCCTTGAACTTCCCATTCCCAGATCAATCCCCAACCCCAGGTATCTTGCCTCCCCCCATGCATTTGAACTAGTATGACTTTAATTCGTTGACCTAGGTTGTGCGGAATGGGATATGAAATTTTATCCAGATTCCACATTCCTTTAAGTTCGAGTATATGACTCACTCGTAGGTTCAAGTCTGCAAACCGGATTGGTCCTTCCGATATATTTTATAGAGGACCCACGCCTATCCAGTCACCCATTCAATTAAACTATTAAATATATGTCAAAGAAATCGAAACAAAAAAGCAAAATTTCAATGTTTTGTGGTGATTTATATTATTTCGAGGTATTTTGAGATATTTTGATATATTTTCACCAATGTCTTTGGAATATTTTGAGGTGTTTTAAGAAATTATGATATATTTTAAAAATAATTATTAATTTTTATTCTATTTCTGAAATATTTTTGTACCAANAAATTATGATATATTTTAATTAATATTTTAAAAATAATTATTAATTTTTATTCTATTTCTGAAATATTTTTGTACCAAAATAATACACCAAATTTAAATTTTGATCATTGACTATATATTAGGTTAAAATAAAATTGAATGAATTTAGCTTTTAATTAGTAAATATAGATGAAGTGCATTTAGTAATCAATGTGGTGGGTATAAATGCGATGAACTTAATAGTTTGAAGTAACATAATTAAATAGGGTGAGAAAAGAGATTTAAGGGGTGAGAAGAGTCCTACCTTTTTCCAATTATACATTATTAATGAATGAGAGATTCATCTTAATGCAACGGCTCCTACTTAAATGTATAATATGTGATCCACTAAAAACAAAACTCAATAAAATATATATTAGAAAAAAATCTCATTTAAGAACTTGAAAAAATTATACATTTAATAATTATTAGCAATGCATCACTGGTGTTGCACATGAACAAATTTAGGTAAATTTGTTTCTACACAATTTATAAAAAAGAACTTAAAATATGTGTATAATTATATTAAATGACATATCTTGTTATTCAAACTTGTAATTCTTTCACCGATATCATGTTATATAATTAAAAGTATTGCACAACATAATCTAGTAATTAGAGGAGATAAAATAAGTAGTCTTGGTTTCAATCTCGAATGATATAGTTGTCTTATTTATTTTGTTTTTTTATAAGATAAGCGGTGATTTAAAAGTATTTCAATATCTTACTATTTACAAGTTTTTATTTTACTTGTTTTTTAAATATATGTAATTTTTTTTTTGTATTCAAGTGTAATGCACGTGGATCATTTTCAATATCAAATATATTATTCCTATAAAGATTATGAAATAATGTTAACTATACAAATAAACTTTATTTGGACATTTTGTGTAGTATCTAGTGAAACTTGAGTCATGGATAAATTTAGCCACATATTAACATGTAAAATTAGAGTCTCGATAATATACTCCAAAGCTAATATCCGTCGTTTCTAAAAGGATAAAAAATAGAAGGATGCTTATATTATGATAAGTTTGGGATAATCTACCTCAAAATTTACTATCATATTTCCGACGACAAGATTAAAGAATTGGCGAACTCCAATTACTTCATTATTTAGTGNAAAAATAGAAGGATGCTTATATTATGATAAGTTTGGGATGATCTACTTCAAAATTTATTATCATATTTCCGACGACAAGATTAAAGAATTGGCGAACTCCAATTACTTCATTATTTAGTGAAAGACAAATATTAAATTATGCTTCAAAAGAAACGTCATATATGCTTCATGAACATCCCATTAAAAGAATTACCCACAAATATATATATATATATATATATATATATATATTTACCACATTCAAATGGTACAATGTATATTAGCACCTTGTATCTTATGTCCTAGAACAATTCAAAAGATCTAGTCGAACTATGATCCACATAATGAAGTATCTCATTTTAATAATTCAGTGCATGAGAAAAATCACGTAATTTTTTTTACACACGGGATATAATGCTAAATATGCAAAATAATTTTTGGTGCAAAACAAAAAATGAACTTATTACTGTCAAAATTAAACACATAGAAGGTCTATGATATAGAATAAATAAATCTCAAGATGTCATTTTTACAGTGATCTTTAACAATTGATCATGTTGGTTCATAAGTAAAAAACACTTAATTTGGTTAAGTAGATATAATAAACCAAGAAGAAATTTTTGAAGATGTCAATGCAAGCTTAGCTCCAAGCAAAACATAAATCACATAAAAAAGAGCAACAATCTACAACTAGATAAGAGCCATGAGTATGAGAGAATGAGAGAGAAATGAAATGGTAATACTATTAATATATGATCGAAATTCATAGAATTGAATATTTGGTCATTAGTTGTCCACTTAGCCATAAAATGAAAGTGAAATGATTCAAATTTCATTTGATTAAATGACATATTTATTATTAAGAATTTGTACCGTCCGTAAAATTACATATCAGTTCATATTAGATAAATGATAAAATAGACTTTATGATAGTTATCGATGACATAATACTTGTATTAATGATGATATATTATTCTCCATAAAATAAGGATGATTAATGAATTTTTCATAAACTAAAAGGTTTCTGAGAAATAAATAAGAGAGATATAGAGTCATTAACTTAGAAAATAAAAAAAAAGTATAATATATGGAACAATAATTTTTGTAGAAATGAAAATATACGAAGAGTCATTTGAATATATAATTAATATTGAGTAATTAAATAAATAAAGATATATATGCTTTTAATTTTTAATCAATTTTTTTTAACTTAGTTGTCTTTTATTAGTGGTATAGATTAAAAGGTTTCTTAAGGTTGTGTTTGTTAAAATTAAAAGTTGAAGTTTGAAAAATGGAATTAAATGTTGAATTTGTGAACTGTTTGGTATCCACTAAAATTTAAGTACTGAATTAAACCAAATTGTTTGATAACTATACAAAGCTGACATTTGAAAATAAATTAATTTTCAGTTTTACCCTTCCACTCTTTAATTTAAAAATATTTATAAAATATAATTTTATCTAATAAAAAATGACAATATATCAAATAAATCTAATTCATAACACAAATCATAATCACTATTATCATATTTTAAGTGCTAAATTTAAGTTAACAAATGCACCTGAAATCTTCATTTTATTACTAATGTGCCTTTAATTTAATGATATTTCTTATCTTATAAATATTTTATTTTTTTGAGGTCAAGCTCTTTCCCCTTTATCTACCCTTACCTCTCCCCAATAAAAAAAAAAANCCAATGTGCATTTAATTTAATGATATTTCTTATCTTATAAATGTTTTATCTTTTTGAGGTCAAGCTCTTTCCCCTTTATCTACCCTTACCTCTCCCCAAAAAAAAAAAAAAAAAAAAAATCTTCATTTCATTTGTACGAAGTAAAGTTTCCTAAATCTTGTATGACGCAATTACTAACTAACTACTAAACGAATACCATAATCACTAAACAGCTGGCATTTTTACCTTTCTGCCCCCTTAATTTTCGGAACTTCATTAATTAATCACATTTAATTAAATAAACCAACCAATCAAATGCCGCGGATTACCTTAGAAGTTTCCCTCCAATAGACCAACACTCCACTCCGAGTCTCCGACTCTCTCTCTCTCTCTCTCTCTACTATTCACTCTATAAAATGCCTCGCTTCGCCTAAGTTTCGTTCCCATTTCACCTCACAGTTCCCTTTCCATCTTCTCTCTCTACCGCTTCGTGTTGGTTCATCTCTCTTTGGGTAAGCTTTTCTCGATCTTTTTGCACAATCGGTTTTCTTTTTCATTGTTTATCGGTTGTTTTCTATGTCTTTTATCAGTTTGATTTGTCTTTTTTAGGGTTTTGGGTCATGGGTGATGTTTCTAGGGTTTTTTCCTGCGACTGCACAACTATTGGGTGTATTGAGATTGTTGTTGAGGCTTTTTTTTCGTGGTATTTATGTTTTTATGCACGTATTTATGGATTATTTGTTGTGTATCACTGGTTTTTGTGGGGCAAGTTTTATCATATTGTTTGACTGTTAGTCGTTTCTTTAGATGATCGTCTGTTTTGCTCTGTATGTGATTGGTAATAGTGATCTTATAAGATTTTGATTTATTTTTGTTAAATTTATTAGGAGGGTTGGGAGGGGTACACTTTTTGAAGCTCATTCTGTTGGGAAAACAAGGGTTTTTGAGACACTTTTGATGCTCTGAATCAACATCATTTGTGCTTGTTTTGTTTCAATTACGAGGTCTTCTATTTTTGGTGTCTTCTTTATTTTAGCTTTGGGTTGTTGTTATCTGACGGTGATAATCTTGCAAATATCAGGGCTTGTATTGCACACCAAATGTCTTTTGACTGTTGCAAGAAGCAGCGGTGGTTTCTTTGGCTTGATTTCTGTTTCATGTGCCGGGGCAGGTTGTGGTGTTCTCGAAAGATTTTGTTTCGGCATTGGACTTGACAGAGATTGAGAAGGGGTTTCAGTAAACCTTTCCTTTTTGATTTTTATTTTCCTTGGCATCACATAGTTTATTTATTGGGAAGCATACACATTGGTATTTGTAAAGTTATAGAGTGGTGGACATTCTGTTAGCATTCTCTTTATGGCAAGAACACGTCTTCCTCCTGGATTCCGCTTTCATCCCACGGATGTTGAGCTGATTATGTACTACCTCAAGAGGAAGGTAATGGGAAAGAAGTTCCATGTTGAAGCTATCTCAGAGTTGAACATTTACAAGTTTGTTCCATGGGATCTCCCGGGTACAAATTTTATTATTTATATAATAGAATAGTCCATTTTTTGTACAAGTAGTATTCATTTTTGCTTATTTTATGTGTTTTCCATGACAAATGCGGTTATTGGTTGAGTTTAGTTGTGTTTTTGTGTTCACATTCTCTGCTTTGTATTGCATAAGCCCATTCATATGGTAAATTTGGAAACAAAGTGTGTTTTTTTTTAATTTGTTTATGAGAAGTGTCTTTTAGGGTGAGTATTGAGAAACTTTCTGTCTTTATGGGATTTTAACAGTGACACATTCCTATTTTATCCTTCAGATAAATCATGCATGAGAAGTAAGGATCTTGAGTGGTACTTTTTTTGCCCAAGAGAGAGGAAGTATGCAACTGGCTCAAGATTGAATCGGGCAACGGAAAATGGATATTGGAAAGCCACTGGAAAAGATAGACCTGTTCTTTATGAGAAACGAATTGTGGGAATGATCAAAACCTTGGTTTTTCATCTAGGGCATGCACCGAAAGGGGAAAGAACAAATTGGGTCATACATGAATATAGGATTGAAGACGAAAAGTTAGCTGATGCAAGAGTTGTTCAGGTATTTCGGTTGCATCCTTAATGCTGAGGGTCCTTAATATAATCTGATCATACATAACTTCTGTCATGTTCAATGAAATTGAATGTTAGTTTTTCTTTTTGCATGAATTTTTGTTCTTGAAAAATGATCTCCATCATGTAACATTGTACAAGTGGAAATTTGATCTGCTATCTGGTATCGTTCTTAGTTTGAGGGGTTGATTTTATCAAAGTTAAAATGATAAGGATTACTAAATTTTCTCTTTCATTTCTTTTTCCTTTTGTTTTACCTCCCGTGGGGGAGGGGCTTCAAAATTGTGACTGTAAAGAGAGATTGCTGACCATGATGGGTGTACTCTGTGTTCGCATTTGCTGAAGGTTTACAGTACTACATCATCTCAATGGGTNCATGGGGGAGGGTCTTCAAAATTGTGACTGTAAAGAGAGATTGCTGACCATGATGGTTGTACTCTGTGTTCGCATTTGCTGAAGGTTTACAGTACTACATCATCTCAATGGGTCTTGTATAGTCCTGTATATGAAACAGTATTTGTTTTCCAGNGAGAAAGAAGTTCCATGTTGAAGCTATCTCGGAGTTGAACATTTACAAGTTTGTTCCATGGGATCTCCCAGGTACAAATTTTATTATTTATATAATAGAATAGTCCATTTTTTGTACAAGTAGTATTCATTTTTGCTTATTTTATGTGTTTTCCATGACAAATGCGGTTATTGGTTGAGTTTAGTTGTGTTTTTGTGTTCACATTCTCTGCTTTGTATTGCATAAGCCCATTCATATGGTAAATTTGGAAACAAAGTGTGTTTTTTTTTTATTTGTTTATGAGAAGTGTCTTTTAGGGTGAGTATTGAGAAACTTTCTGTCTTTATGGGATTTTAACAGTGACACATTCCTATTTTATCCTTCAGATAAATCATGCATGAGAAGTAAGGATCTTGAGTGGTACTTTTTTTGCCCAAGAGAGAGGAAGTATGCAACTGGCTCAAGATTGAATCGGGCAACGGAAAATGGATATTGGAAAGCCACTGGAAAAGATAGACCTGTTCTTTATGAGAAACGAATTGTGGGAATGATCAAAACCTTGGTTTTTCATCTAGGGCATGCACCGAAAGGGGAAAGAACAAATTGGGTCATACATGAATATAGGATTGAAGACGAAAAGTTAGCTGATGCAAGAGTTGTTCAGGTATTTCGGTTGCATCCTTAATGCTGAGGGTCCTTAATATAATCTGATCATACATAACTTCTGTCATGTTCAATGAAATTGAATGTTAGTTTTTCTTTTTGCATGAATTTTTGTTCTTGAAAAATGATCTCCATCATGTAACATTGTACAAGTGGAAATTTGATCTGCTATCTGGTATCGTTCTTAGTTTGAGGGGTTGATTTTATCAAAGTTAAAATGATAAGGATTACTAAATTTTCTCTTTCATTTCTTTTTCCTTTTGTTTTACCTCCCGTGGGGGAGGGGCTTCAAAATTGTGACTGTAAAGAGAGATTGCTGACCATGATGGGTGTACTCTGTGTTCGCATTTGCTGAAGGTTTACAGTACTACATCATCTCAATGGGTCTTGTATAGTCCTGTATATGAAACAGTATTTGTTTTCCGGTTGCGTCATATCATTTACATTGGACCATTGTAAAATTTTCTTGATGAATGATCTTTGAACACTTTGGGAATTCTATACATCGCCTGGTTACTTAAAGTGAGAAACATGATTGCAGACATTGAATCTCTTACAGCTGTTTTTGTCAATTTGTTTTGATGCAAATACCAAAGTGGAAAGTTTGTCCTATCATTTAAGTATTTTTCCCAAGTCCTAACATATTACCAGGATGGCATAAACCTCACAACTATGATTCTGCTCCTTATCTAGGATCCAGTCGTTTTTAGGTTTATAACTTTATATCTTGTTAAGTGACAAGTATTGGAAAAATGCTTGTGGCATTTTGCTCATCATGCTGTTTTCTTTTCTGGCTTTGTTCTTAGCATATTTTCCCTCCACTCCAATCCAACTATAAATTTCTCGTGGAATAAATTGTCTGACAAATTTAGCTGAGACTCCTGGTTTCCTTGTTTTGGCAGGATGCATATCTGCTCTGTAGAGTTTTCCAGAAGGGTGGTCTGGGTCCAAATAATGGTGCACAGTATGGAGCACCATTTAATGAGGAGGAATGGAGTGATGGTGAAGAAATTGGTGCTGAATCCTTACCATCTGATGGTGCTGCCCTTTCGTTGCCTGATAATGGAACAAATTCTGTTGTGACAAGCACAATTGTTCCTGGAAGTACATGTAGCTGGTCAGTATCTGAACCAGGTCCATTGTCAGTAGTGCCTTTGGCGGACAAGGTCCCTTCAGATGTCCCAGATGAAGATATTCTTTCATTGTTGGCCATGTGCACAGAAGATAGCCTTCCTATTGAGAATGGCAGTACCGAGGTGAGTAGTTGTTTTGCACCTGTTGAATGTGTACAGAATAGAAATTGTGCTGTAAAATTATTCCTGGAGGTAGAATATTTATTATGATAAACATTTCACATTGCATTTTTCTGATCCAATGCTAGGGATAATGTACAGTTAATCATCTTTTAGGTATTTNGTCTTGTATAGTCCTGTATATGAAACAGTATTTGTTTTCCGGTTGCGTCATATCATTTACATTGGACCATTGTAAAATTTTCTTGATGAATGATCTTTGAACACTTTGGGAATTCTATACATCGCCTGGTTACTTAAAGTGAGAAACATGATTGCAGACATTGAATCTCTTACAGCTGTTTTTGTCAATTTGTTTTGATGCAAATACCAAAGTGGAAAGTTTGTCCTATCATTTAAGTATTTTTCCCAAGTCCTAACATATTACCAGGATGGCATAAACCTCACAACTATGATTCTGCTCCTTATCTAGGATCCAGTCGTTTTTAGGTTTATAACTTTATATCTTGTTAAGTGACAAGTATTGGAAAAATGCTTGTGGCATTTTGCTCATCATGCTGTTTTCTTTTCTGGCTTTGTTCTTAGCATATTTTCCCTCCACTCCAATCCAACTATAAATTTCTCGTGGAATAAATTGTCTGACAAATTTAGCTGAGACTCCTGGTTTCCTTGTTTTGGCAGGATGCATATCTGCTCTGTAGAGTTTTCCAGAAGGGTGGTCTGGGTCCAAATAATGGTGCACAGTATGGAGCACCATTTAATGAGGAGGAATGGAGTGATGATGAAGAAATTGGTGCTGAATCCTTACCATCTGATGGTGCTGCCCTTTCGTTGCCTGATAATGGAACAAATTCTGTTGTGACAAGCACAATTGTTCCTGGAAGTACATGTAGCTGGTCAGTATCTGAACCAGGTCCATTGTCAGTAGTGCCTTTGGCGGACAAGGTCCCTTCAGATGTCCCAGATGAAGATATTCTTTCATTGTTGGCCATGTGCACAGAAGATAGCCTTCCTATTGAGAATGGCAGTACCGAGGTGAGTAGTTGTTTTGCACCTGTTGAATGTGTACAGAATAGAAATTGTGCTGTAAAATTATTCCTGGAGGTAGAATATTTATTATGATAAACATTTCACATTGCATTTTTCTGATCCAATGCTAGGGATAATGTACAGTTAATCATCTTTTAGGTATTTGCTTTCCACTGCAAAAGTCTATTGCATATCTTCTTCTTCATTCACTTTTGACTTGTCCTTTTTTTATCATATCAGATTTTTAACTATAAATGTGCTGGCACCATGCTTACTTTTTTGTTTGTTGTGGGAGGGGGTGGGGTGGGCAGCGGAGNGTACAGTTAATCATCTTTTAGGTATTTGCTTTCCACTGCAAAAGTCTATTGCATTTCTTCTTCTTCATTCACTTTTGACTTGTCCTTTTTTTATCATATCAGATTTTTAACTATAAATTTGCTGGCACCATGCTTACTTTTTTGTTTGTTGTGGGAGGGGGTGGGGTGGGCAGCGGAGGTCTGTTAGGGATATGTTTCAGTGAACTTTTCCGGTATGTGGTAATAAGTAGCGCTGCCAGTGAACCAAGTGAAGATGAGTAATGTCAATCTGACTATCTGTGCTCAATCAGTTTGGGAGTTTCTCAAGCTTGATCCCAAGGCAGATAAACCTTCTAAATGTGTGTTCAAGCTCAGGAGTCCTGCTTTGGGCCAGCTTGAGCCTATTCTCTCTTGATTGCCTTAAGTTATATGAAGGGAAAAGTGGCAAAATATTCAAGAAAATACATCAATGAAGGATGGGTCTAGTGTAGATATGTTGGTTCTGATGTGAGGCATGATTAAAATGAACAAGCAAATGAGGCTGTATGGCTTAGGTCTGACTTGTCTGGGTTAGGTCAGAAATGTCTGAAAAGTGGGAAATGTTAAAATATGCTGATTTTGCCAAAAAAACAAAAAAAAAAAATAAAAGACCCTTGAGAAAAACTAAAAAACTATTTATTCAAATATTTTGACACGAAAAGCCCAAAAATATGAGAGCTGCACTATACAACAATTATAATGACAAGTTTGTTCACTATAATATAAAAATCTCCAAGAAGCTTCCCAACTCCAACCGGCCACCGAAAACAAATTTTATGTGTCTGTCCTCAACCAGGCATCCCCCTCTCTTTCTCTCTCTTCCCCCCCCTCCCAAAAAAAAAAATGGAAGATAGTGAGCAGATAATGGTAATTGTTCATTGTTGCAGTTCACCTAAAAATATGAGGAAAAGAATATGATTTTAAGTTGATATATGCCAAAAAGAGAAGAGGGAGGAAGACTGTATGACTTTAGGAGAAATTATTCGGTTACTACTTTGGAAGTAAATTTTAGTAGTTTTCTCAAGAANAAACATATATGCCAAAAAGAGAAGAGGGAGGAAGACTGTATGACTTTAGGAGAAATTATTCGGTTACTACTTTGGAAGTAAATTTTAGTAGTTTTCTCAAGAATTCTATGGATCATAAAGGGTGGCGAGTACGTTGTAATTGTGTTGCATTTTCAAAAGGTGTACCAAACCATTCCATTTCAATGGGTGCTGTAAATAATGTAGTATGTCATTGTTCTGGCACCTTGTAATCTAAGAAATATTTATAATGTTACATTAAATTTTATCCTTGCATAGGAAATACATTTTATGGATTATGAAACAATTTCTTTGCTGTTGTCTTTATTTGTGTTTTAAGCTATAACATTAAAGCTTAGAACTAATTAATGAAGAGTATGAGATTAAGCAATTATGCACTAGGCGATTGAGAACAAATGGAAAGCAACAGACTCAACAATCTTAGTTCTCATATGAACCATCTTCCATGAACTGTCGGCATTGGGACTGTTTTACTTCTCGGGATTTCAGTCTAAGAAGCACGGATACTTGTTGGAAAGTCGATGTGGCAGTATTGGACACATGTTCGACACGGATATGCGTGGGACATAGCCAGACACGTGTCCGACACTTCTAAAAGTGTTATGAACAACGAAATAACTTTTTTGAGTCGGATATGATACGGATACAACAATAACTCGGTTATGAATTGCTACACTTGGTTTTGACTCGGTGGACTCGAACAAACTCGTGACCGAGTCACGCAATTCGTGGTGGTATGTAACAAATCAGTCAAATAATAGAAGAAAAAGAAGAAATTGAAATAAAATTTATCAAATCAGCCACATCGAGTTTCCCTCATCCTCTTCTTCTTTTTCTTCACCATTTGGTTGTGACTCCTGTTGCTGCCAGCTTCGATTGCGATCTCCAGTGAAGTTCTATATCTCTGTGAATCGAAAAGTCATCATTGCTATTGTTAGCNATGAAATAACTTTTTTGAGTCGGATACGATACGGATACAACAATAACTCGGTTATGAATTGCTAGACTTGGTTTTGACTCGGTGGACTCGAACAAACTCGTGACCGAGTCACGCAATTCGTGGTGGTATGTAACAGATCAGTCAAATAATAGAAGAAAAAGAAGAAATTGAAATCAAATTTATCAAATCAGCCACATCGAGTTTCCCTCATCCTCTTCTTCTTTTTCTTCACCATTTGGTTGTGACTCCTGTTGCTGCCAGCTTCGATTGCGATCTCCAGTGAAGTTCTATATCTCTGTGAATCGAAAAGTCATCATTGCTATTGTTAGCTTTGGTCGCGATCGCCAAGGAAGTACTCTCTCTGTCTCTCTGAAGAGTTGGTGTCTCTTAAGAACTATGGTTCTTGAGCCGTGCGCCTTTTTTGGGTTTGAGAGTTTAAAGGGTTTTTTGGGTTCAGAGATATTTATAGTATTTTATTCTATTATTGTTATATTGGTAGATTGTAAATAACATAGTTATCAAATCGTGTATCGGAAGGCGTATCGTAAGATACAAATATTGTATCGTATCGTGTATCGTATCGTGTATCGTAAGATACGATGCAATTTTAAATAAATAATAAAAAAATATATATACCTTTGAAAAAAAGTCATACACTCATAAAAAATATAGCATTTCATTAATACTCCACCAACTATTCAAGTTATCAACATAATCCACTACTATTATAATGCAAAGTTCACAACCATAGTTCACTAATTCAAACTTTAAACACCAAAGAGACTTCTAATCCAAATTTCTAACATCCATTTTGAACTCAATCTTCAATTTCAATTGAAAATGCATCATCATCATCATCATTGTGATCGGATGCCAACAAGTCTNGTAAATAATACTCTTTATTTTTTTTTGGTATTGTTTATTTTGAAAGGATTGTATTTTTTATTTATTTTTATTTTTTTGTTCATATTTTTTATTAACTAACACATTAATTGGTCTAGTCACTTAGTTGTCAATATTGTTTAATCTATTTAATTATAATTAAAAAATTAATGTTTGCTAAGCCTTATTAGTTATGATTAATGTTGTTATATATATATATATATATATATATATATATATATATATATATATATATGTGTGTGNATACTCTTTATTTTTTTTTGGTATTGTTTATTTTGAAAGGATTGTATTTTTTATTTTTTTTTATTTTTTTGTTCGTATTTTTTATTAACTAACACATTAATTGGTCTAGTCACTTAGTTGTCAATACTGTTTAATCTATTTAATTATAATTAAAAAATTAATGTTCGCTAAGCCTTATTAGTTATGATTAATGTTGTTATATATATATATATATATATATATATATATATATATATATATATATATGTGTGTGTGTTTGTGTGTGTGTATAATATTATTTTAATTAGTCACACTCATGTCTTATATTTTGGAATTTTGTCGTTTGCTTGTATTCGTATCGTATCGGATATGACACCCGTGTTCATATCAGTACTTCTTAGATTCCAGTTGATTGTTTGGGTTATTTATTTATTTATTTTTCTTTATGAACACAAACATAGGGTTATGGGCGTAGTTTGCACATATTTTACCCAACATCAATTCTTTGGGTTGTTATGATTGTGTATTGTTGTTTGTTATCCTTATCCTAGAATGGTCATGAACACCTTTTTTTTTTTTGGGAGGAGGGGGGGAGGGACATTAATGTTAGCGATATTTTGTGGTAAGTGTTAAGCTGTGACCATTCTGCTTGGCTGCCACCCTTGGGTTAGAGTTGATACCCATTGATGTTAAATTATTGTGTTTTGGGTGGTGGCTACTGCATCTTGTCGTTTGTAAACTATTTCAGATTCAAGTTGATTCTGATTGTTGCTTATACATTGTTCTATTACGATTAATGGCTGAACTGCACTATACTCTAGACCATGTATAACTAGGTTGGGCCTCTCTATCAGCAGAGAGCTGATTATAATGTAACTCTAATTTGTTGCATGTGAGTATTGATGTTTATGTCTTGGACTTCCTTAAGGGTACTAATGATTGAGGCTTGTTTAATTACAAATTGTGTTTTTTTTTATATAAGGGAGTAGATCAGATTACTGTTACGATTCTAAATTGCAGTACAACAATTGCTTGTGTGCTGGTAAATAATTGATATTGCAGTAACACGAAAAAGGTGGATTGATTTTCCTTTGCACTGTTTCTTGGGAAAGTTTATTTTCTGCTTTATTGAGTACTTTTCAAATACTTAACTATTATGGCATAGGAGCCTCATAACCATGATGCTACTCCTTATATATATACGTATATATATGCATATATTGTCCACTCATTCTTTAAGTTTATATCTTGTTGAGATTAAAAGGAGTTGAAATGTGTGTTTTCTCTCATGGCCTTGTGGCTGGGCATAAATTTCTTCTATTGCCATCCAAATATTTCTTGCCGAAGTTTTCTGAATAATTTTTGTTGACACTCTTGGTCTCCTTGTTTGGTAGGATTCTTGTGTGCTCTCTAAAGTCTTCCCGAGGAGTGGTCTGGACCCAAATAATGGTTCACAGTATGGGGCACCATTTAATGAGGAAGAATGTGATGATATTCAAGAAATCTGTGTTGAATCTTTTTATGATAGAGGTTCCCTTCCGCTGCCTGATAACCAGAAGAATTCTGTTGTAACGTGCACAATTGTTTCTGGAAATACATATAGCCGGTCATTATCTGAACCAGGTCCATCTTCAGATGTGCCTTCTGCTATCAATGTCCCTCCATATTTTCCAGTATTTGGTAAACCCCTTGCCGAATCTTTGTTATCTGATGGTGCTGCCCATTCACGGTCTTATAACCGAAAGAATTATGTAGTGATGAGCACATTTGTTCCTGCTGAACCAGCTCCGTCTTCAGCTGTGCCTTCTGCTAACCATATCCCTCCATATTTCCCAGAATTTGATAAAATCCATGCTGAAACTTTATCATCCAATGTTGCTGCCCATATGCTACCTTATAGCCAAAAGAACTCTGTTGTGACAAGCACATTTGTTCCTGGAAGTACACGTGACTGGTCATTATCTGAGCCAGGTCTATTGTTGACTGAGCTTTCTGGTAACAATGGCCCTCCAAATTTCCCCGAAATTGACAAAACCCGTGCTGAATCTTTACCATCTGATGGTGCTGCCCATTGGCGGCCTTACAATCAAAAGAATTCTGTTGTGTGGAGCACATTCATTCCTGAAAGTACATGTAGCCGGTCATTTTCTGAACCAGGTCCATCTTCGGTTGTGACTACTGCTAATAAGACCTCTCCAGATGTCCCAGATGACGATGACTTTGATTCATTGTTTGCCATGTTCACAGAAGATAGCCCTCCTATTGAGAATAACAATAACGAGCTGGATAACCTGCAGTCATTTTGGCCCTTTTGATCTGTCTAGAGAATATTATTAGGCCTTATAATTGTTCATTGCAATTGAATTTTAATTATGACAAACCTTCCACATTGTATTTGTTGATTTTTGTGATTTAATGCCCCAGCATAATGTTTGGTAATGCTTTTTCAAAGTACTTTTTTTTTTTCTGGAACTTGTTTGAAGTAATGTTTGTTTTTTGGTTCTACTCCTTCACTCCAAGCTTATAGATGAAATCAGCCATACATGACTTACTGAAATAATTGGGTCTTTCATGAAATAATTGCAGCTGACTTCTGGCGTCATTATTGGTTGTGAGTGGGGAGCATTTGTTCTGCCTGATATGCTGCTGATTGTTTTTATGAGCAAGATTCTGCTGCACTACTTAACCTATTTTTGAGATGAATGTGAATTTATGTGATTATTATTATAATTTGAATTGACAAAGGTCTTGTCTAGTGTACAAAGCTTTTGTCTATAGTGGGATAAGAGAGCTATACATAGTAGGTAGTTTTAATCTTAAATTTAGGGAGGATGATTTTTGAATTTGAACAAGTATCATATTGTTTGGGTAGATGATTATTTGCTATTGCCTCAAGTTCGAGCTCTTGTTCTTCTGCGCACACATCTAGTCAAAACTTTCATATGTAATGATTTTATTTATTATTGTTATAAGTACCTTAATTCTATTTCACTTGGACAGTGAAATACACCTGAAAAACTATTACGTTATCTTTTTTCTTTCGTTACTATTTATTATTCTCAACATGTACCAATGGGATTCCAGAGATGGAGAATCTTTTGATGATTCCACCTGTTGTCTAAAGTTCGAACACAAGCCCATCAACTGTTGTTTAATTTGATTTCTAATTCATAGAGACTAAATTCACAAACCATACAACTTTGCCAAACAAAACNTAATTCTTCGGTTATCTTTTTTCTTTCGTTACTATTTATTATTTACCAATGGGATTCCAGAGATGGAGAATCTTTTGATGATTCCACCTGTTGTCTAAAGTTCGAACACAAGCCCATCAACTGTTGTTTAATTTGATTTCTAATTCATAGAGACTAAATTCACAAACCATACAACTTTGCCAAACAAAACGAATTTTCTATTGTAAATAACCTTTATTGCCACTTTTTAAAAATAATTTGAATGCACACAAGCGCGCGCACACACACACACAAACAATTTGATAATAATAACTTAATAATTTGATAATAATAAATTAAATAGAAAAGAAATGAATATTTATTGGACGGAAATAGCCCCACCCAACTTTTTAATGCATATTCTAAATTTTCTTCTCAAAACCAAATAGAAAGGGCTTGAAGTAGTATTTGCCAAAACAGTGCTTCCATTTAAGGAGGAAAGATGCTGAGATTTGTTGTCTCTTTTCTCTGTATCGGCTTTTTTTCTATTATACAAGACATCCATTAAAGACGTCTTCTTATTTAATTTTCTGTCTTTTTTAGAGTTACCACAATGATATATCTAATCAAAATTCTAAGAAAAAAAAAAACTATTATCCAACAACTGAAACTCGACTTCAGATTCATGCTTAAATCATAAACCAACTTAAAAACACGCTCCACAACAACTCACCACCAAAAAAAAAAACCCTTGTTGGCCATTGCCTAATCCATTCTTTCATGTATGCACTAAAAGGATTACAAGAAGAATGAAAAAAAAATGGAATTATGGAAAGGACCATTCTCTATTTAAACACAACATTTGCCCGATCAACGAGCTTTTTAATTAAAATGGTGCCGATGCTATGTCCCTAAGTCTTGGACTCGTTAGATGATGGATCGAGTAGTCTACCTCTTCACCATAGTCCACCATCGTGCCATTGTTGCCACTTCCACTGCTAACCACCGGCTCTAAACCCTACAGGCGATCAAGTAGTTGAAAACAATTACGAGTCACATATANACGCTATGTCCTTAAGTCTTGGATGGATCGAGTAGTCTACCTCTTCACCATTTTCCACCATCGTGCCATTGTTGCCACTTCCACTGCTAACCACCGGCTCTAAACCCTACAGGCGATCAAGTAGTTGAAAACAATTACGAGTCACATATAAAACTAGGAACACCATATATTCCATTACAAATTGATTCGCTTAAGGAAATATAACTAATAACGATATCAATCCAAAATTTTTCAATGCTATCAAATTTGTAAATATTAAATATTGGAGAGTATTGATTGAGTTATGTGATATTAGGGATCATGCCATTAAATTTAAATAAATAAAAATTAAATCAATCTTTATTATTANATGCTATGTCCCTAAGTCTTGGACTCGTTAGATGATGGATCGAGTAGTCTACCTCTTCACCATAGTCCACCATCGTGCCATTGTTGCCACTTCCACTGCTAACCACCGGCTCTAAACCCTACAGGCGATCAAGTAGTTGAAAACAATTACGAGTCACATATAAAACTAGGAACACCATATATTCCATTACAAATTGATTCGCTTAAGGAAATATAACTAATAACGATATCAATCCAAAATTTTTCAATGCTATCAAATTTGTAAATATTAAATATTGGAGAGTATTGATTGAGTTATGTGATATTAGGGATCATGCCATTAAATTTAAATAAATAAAAATTAAATCAATCTTTATTATTATTATACTTTTATTAGCCTAGAATTCAACTCTCTTATAAATATAAATAAAAACTTTTTTGCCAACGTAAGAGGAGGACCATAATAAGATATGACAAAGCTGGAGAAACCTGTGGTTGACAATATTTTGGGTATAAAAATCGCCAAAAAAAAAAAAAAATCTCCATCCATAGGAACAGACAATTTACAAAGTAATATAAAATCATTTAAATATAAAAATTAGGTGTTTGATACAGAAAAGTTCATTGTAAATTATTGAAAAAATATTCACATCATTTTGAATTAAAAATAGGCGTATAATTAAATTTTAAAGGTGATACGAATATAAAAAACGCATATAATAATAATAATAATCTCGCTACCTCTTGTATTCTTTTATAACGTTATAATCGATCTTTTACCATTATTTTAAACCATACTCCCTATTTAATTTACATGCATATACCTACATNCAAATATAAAAAACGCATATAATAATAATAATCTCGCTACCTCTTGTATTCTTTTATAACGTTTTTACCATTATTTTAAACCATACTCCCTATTTAATTTACATGCATATACCTACATGTGTACTGTATACACACAGATGACAAAAATCAGATACAAACTAACTACACATACGCACACATGGAGTCTGTAGACACCCACACACACACATGAATATACACAAAATTGCATCATTACCACCGTGAAAATTCTCACAGCTTCTTCTACGCTCCTTGTATTCACCACACATAGTGCTGCTTCCTACAAGCAAACCAGCAATCATCAAACTTGTGAACAAATATTCATACTAAAACCAGTCTTAGTAACCTTATCTCTCTCTCTCCCTCTCTCTCTATATATATATATAGAGAGAGAGAGAGAGAAAGAGAGAGAGAGAGAGAGAAACTTGCCCTTGCAAACTGNAATCTTAGTAACCATATCTCTCTCTCTCTCTCTCTATATATATATATATATATAGCGTGAGAGAGAGATAGAGAGAGAGAGAGAGAGAGAGACTTGCCCTTGCAAACTGGATCTGCTCAATATTCAGAGTCAGAGGCTCATTCTCAATAGATGAGGCCCTCTCAAGTCCAACCATAGATTCACCCATTTTAGCTAACAACTAGGTCTAGAGAGAGAAAGAGAGAGAGAGGGAGAGAGAGTTGTTATATAGTCGGAGGCTGAGAGAGAAAGCCAATGCTATCAAATGGAAGAAGGTGATCCCAATATAGATGGAAGAAGAGGCATGTATGATGTATATATATAGGTGAGTAGTGATAAGGATTGGGTAAGCTAATGCACCACGTAAAGTGTACGTGGCAAAATATATCTCAGATACTTGTAAACGTGGCAGCACGTCGGTGCTTGGATTGGACACGTGGCGAAAGATATGATTTGTGTCTCAGATTTGGAAACCCAATGGTCAAAAATATCATGTTGTAGCTTTCTAATTCTAAAAGGAGAAATACCAACGGTTTCAATGAAATCTTTTACGTGATTGTGTTGTGAACCATTGAGTGACTACCACGACAACCAAGATGGATCGATCCATTTTGTTTGCATGAGTTGCTATCCACACGTGGTTTTGTATTGATGGGTTTCTATTAGAATAAACCACAATAATCCTAAAAAAATTTACTTAATTTATTATTTTTATAATGTATTTTCATTATAATTATTGGATGAACACTAATTATAATCTATGATAGGTTCACAGTCAATCAAATGACTATAACAAATTAGATCAACAAATTAAATTAATAAATTAAACTCAAATAACATTGTTCTTAAATAAATATTCAATATATCAGTAATATCAAATTATCATTCTAATATAGTGCCACTTTTTAATAATAAATGAGTAATATTATAGGCATCTAATATATATATATATATAACAAATATTTTTTGGGTGGAAAGGTTTGAGAAGCCTTCATTCTCCAATGTTTAATTTCTAAATTTTTTGAAATATTTAATTTTTTTCACCAAATCAAATTATTATTTTTGACTTATTTAACTATTCTTCATTTTTGTAACGGCTTCCACCATCTTTTTAAACTATTTTAAATTTAAATTTTCACTCATTTTTTTTCTCTTCTTAATATTTTTTAAAAAATTATTTAAACTCATTAATGCATAATTTTGCAATAATACGAGGTTTAGAAAAAGATTTTTTTTTTTTTGAAAACAAAGAAACACAGAGAATATCATTACACAGGAAAGTTTTGATTATAATCATTGGATAAGAAAGCTTGAAGCTCGGTGGGAGGACAGCTCACTCAACTCAACGAAAGTGAGTTAGATAATGTTATAGCTGCGACCCAATGAGTTGCTTTATTAAGAGCCCTTGGCTTGTATAAAAATCTTAAATTAAGAACCTTAGCATAATACCTAATGTCATTGATAAAGACATTAACTTCCCATGGTGGGGTGTCTTCAGAGGAGCTTAGTTTGATCATCTCCAAGTTATCACTTACCACAGTAGCATCCCTTAACTCAGAAGAACAAGCCAAAAGACAGGCTTGTCTGATAGCAGCTGCCTCAGCGGAGAAACTGGACCCAACCGAGACCTTTTTAGCAATGCCATCCACAATCAGCGCAAGTGAGTCATAGAGAATCACCCCAATGGCAGCAGCACCATGCTTGAAAGCACCATCACAATGCAAAATAGGAGCGAGATTATGACCAGGAGGATGCACATGTGGAAGAGACAAAACCTCCGGCTTCTCTTCTAGTGTACTTATCCCAGCCAACCGCACATCAGACCACTGCGATTGAGCCTAGAGCAACGTGACCATTGCATTAGGATCTTTATGCTGAAACACAAAATTGTTCCTAGCATTCCAAATGGCCCAAGCAACCGTAGCCACTCTCCCCATAATCTCCAACGAACAGGAAGTATTATTAAGATCATCCAAGAGAGACGAAGCCCATTGAAATATAGAAACATGAGAATTCAAAAATAATTTCAAACCCAGATCAGACCCAAACCAAACTTTCTTAACCCACTCACATTAAAACAAAAGATGTTTAACCGTCTCGATATTCTCTCCACATATTGGACACCAAGGAGACACAACACATTTTCTCTTAACCAAATTCGCACGAGTTGCCAAAACATTATTACACACTTTCCACCAAAAATGCTTAATTTTAGGGGCAGCCATCATATGCCATACCACAAACCAGAATTTTGGATGAGGAGAAAAAGACGAACCAGCAAACATATTGGAAGAAGGATCAAGATTGACAGCAAGAGAATAACCTGATCGTACAGAAAATATACCTCGTGGATTTAGTCGCCAAATGCTCCTGTCATCAAATGGAATCAATGGAATTGGAATAGCCAGAATGGAAGCACTCTCCATCTCATTAAAAATTCCCCTAACAAGCCCAACATTCCATTCCCTAGTTTGAGGAGAGAAAAGCTGATTAACCCAGACAACATCAAAGTCATTGGGTCTAGGGGACCGAACTTTTCCATCATCAAACCGAGGGATCCATTTATCCTCCCAAATATTCACCTTGTTACCACCCAAAAACTTGCCAAATAAGACATTTCTCAAGTAAATCCCGTCCTTTTAACAGGCTGTTCCAAACCCAGGAAGGCCTCGCACCCTTCTTAACCTTCATGAAATCACCATCGGGGAAGTAAATAGATTTCATGAACCTTGACCAAAAGGAGTCAGGATGTTGAATTAACCTCCAGCCTTGCTTTTCCAGTAAAGCCTAATTAAACAGAGAGAACTCTTTGAAACCCATCCCCCCTCTTGCTTTTGCTTCCACCATTCCATCCCAACACCTCCAATAAATGCCTCTCGTCTCCCCTCCTCCTCCCTACCAAAATCTCCGCACATACTTGTTGATTTTGTCACAAAAATTCTTAGGGAAAGCTAAAACTGACATAGCATAATTTGGAATAGCCTGGATGACTGCCTTAATTAAAACTTCTTTGCCAGCTTGTGACAGAAAAATACATTTTCACCCTTGCAACTTCTTCAGGATCCTCTCAAAAAGGTAACCGAACAAATCACCCTTTGCTTTACCATACAAAAAAGGCAAACCCAAATATTTGGTCCCTCTATCTAAAAGATTTAAGCCCATCAAATGAAAAAAATGAGATATCTGATCATTCGTTACATTTGCAGAGAAGATGAGACCATATTTTTGGTGGTTTAAACACTGGCCAGAGGCAAAGTAGAACTTGTTAAGGATATTCATAACATAGGAGATACCTTGGTCCTTGGCTTTACAGAAGAAAAAAGAATCATCTGCAAAAAATAAGTGAGAAATAGTAGGGTTGCCCCTCCGAACTTTAACTCCTGAAAATTTCCTTTCTGCCACCCCTTTCTGCAACATCAAAGACAGGACATCAGCAACCATAATAAACAAGTACGGGGGGATAGGGTCACCTTGACAGATACCTCTTTGTGGGTGGACATCACATCTAGATTCACCATTAATAATCATACGGAAACTAACAGTGCTGACACATTGAATTATCAAATGCACCCAGCGAGGGTCAAAACCCAGTTTAAGCATCACAGATTCCAAAAAATCTCATTCAACTCTATCGTAAGCTTTACTAATATCCAATTTAACAGCCAAAACTGGGACCTTACCTTTTTTTTTTTCAATCTCATATGATGGAGAACTTCATTTGCAATGATAATACTGTCTTGAATCTGCCTATTAGGGACAAAAGCAGCCTGCTGGGGAGAGATAATAGAAGACATAAAATCGTTCATTCTGTTGGCTAAAACTTTCGAGATTACTTTGTATAAGAAATTACAAAGCGCAATAGGTCTGAATTGGGAGATCTTTTCTGGTGAATCTTCCTTTGGAATGAGGACTAAATTTGTAACATTCAAGTCCCTAAGCATGAATCCCCCTTCAAAAAAATTTCTTACAACCCTACCCACATCCTCCCCGACAATATGCCAATAAGAGTGAAATAATACACCTGGAAAACCATCTGGGCCTGGGACTTTAAGAGTCCCCAACTGCATAATAGCATTCTTAATCTCCGCATCCTGAACCGATTGAAGCAGCTACTGGTTCAAATCTTCACTGACCTTCCTTTCCATAAACCCCAATACCTCATCAAAATCCCTTTGCCCCACTGAAGAAAATAATGTTTGAAAATACCGTTTGATATGATCATTCAGCTCCTCTTCATTATCAATCCAAACAACATCATCTGTCTTCAGCCACAATATTTGATTACGTTGTCGTCGCTGTATAGTTGTAAGATGGAAAAATCTTGTATTCTGATCCCCAGACTGCAACCAACTAAGTCTTGATCTTTGCTTCCAATAAAGCTCCTCTCGTTTCATGATGTCATCCATAACAGAGATCAGTTCCCATTCCTTCCTTAGATTGTCCTCTGAAGCCTCTAACATTTGCAAATTAACCAATTGAGCATTCAAATCAAACAAAATCCTTTTTTTTTCACCAAATCTCTGCCTACTCCATGCCCTAAGCTCCTTACCACATTGTTCCAGCTTCTTTGACACTCTAAACATCACTGATCCATGCCATACTTCTGCCCAGCTTTCCTTAATAATATCCTAACATTTAACATCTTCTATCCAACAGGATTCAAACTTGAATGAAACTTTCTTTTTCCTTGAAACTAGTTCCAAATTGATAATGATGGGACAATGATCTGATCCTACCCTTGCCTCATGAAGAACCTGCATATGAGGATGGCTTAAAGTCCATTCTGGATTAACCAAGACTCTGTCCAATCTTTCTTGCATATTAGTTGTCCCTGACCTATTATTTGAGCATGTAAACTTTGGCCCTTTAAAATCCATATCCATCAAGTTGCACTCCGAAATAAGATTTTGCAATTCTTCCATCTTCTTAGCCTTACTTGCTCTCTCTCCTTCCTTCTTCAATAGGGACCTAATAACATTAAAGTTGTCTGATACCAGCCAAGCCCCCTCAGTTGTTGAGGCAATGCATTTCAGATCGTGCCAAAGTTTCTGCCTACGATCAAATTCATTATCCGCATACAAAAAGGTGCATTGCCATTTATGTAATTGATTATGCCTTCTTCCCATAACATTAATCAAGTTCTTGTTCATTATATCA